AGGGCGGGGGGGGGGCCGGGGGGGGGCAGCGAGCCCCCCCACGCTGCCGTCAGCGGGCACGGCCCGACCCCGCTGACGCCACTGCGCCCTTGGCCCGGAACGGGACGCGAGAGAGCGGCCTTGGAAAGGAGGCGGCTGCCGCGAAAACTCGGGTCGCGCCCTCAGTAATGCCTCGGCGCTTGTGAAAGTGCGAGCCCCCGTCCTCTGCTCCGCGGCCCAAGTCCAGCTATAACGGGTAGAGGCATCAGCACGCCACCGAGCGCAGAAGGACGGAGGAGGGGGAGGTGACATTGGGGTCCCCCTTTTTTTTCCTTTTCTTTTTTAAACAGCGACTTGTCATTGGGGGGGGGGGGGCGACAGGCTGTCGTTTTTCTCTCGTTGGAACCTTTCCCCCCCATTCCCGTGTACTTCCTGAGATACAAGAGAGGCTTAGTTTTCTCCAAGGACAAAGGAGGAGACGGATGGGGGAGCCGAGTCCCTCTCCCTCCCTAGGCTGAACGCATCCTTCCCTGGTCTACGGGGGAAGAGGAGCTGTGCGCCGGGGTGCCGACCCGGGATAAACCGCAGCCCCGCAGAAGGGCTCCGCGCACCTTCCCGCATGGGTAGCTCCCGCTCAGCTGCCCCCGTCGTTTCGGAGCTGGGAGGTGAAGGGGTGCAGTAAAGACAGTACTCGGGTTGCTCGGGTCTCTTGCTTTAGCGGGGTTCAGCTTGGAGAATCGCGTAGCACAGGTTAAAACCCAATCGTTAGTCTGTTTGACGCTTCGGCTAAACGTAGACCCATCAATATACAGCTATTTACAAGGGAAATCAATGTGCGTCATCTTCGGTAATTGGCGTCCCTTCCCTTTTTAGCTGGCGGAAGCGGGAAGAGCCCCTTCTCGCTCCCAGCGGAGACGCCTCCGGCCTGGTACCACGTCGCCGTCCGCTCCCCTGCTGTGCCAGGCTCCGCATCGGCGCAGCCTGCGAAGGGGCCGGGCCTCAGTCTCCACGGTCTCTTTGCTTTCTCAGGAGCCTTTTGCAAACCCGTTGCTGAGGTATCCTCGTTCCTGGAGCCGCAGAGCCTCCTTTTAGGTCCCTGCGACCAGGAAGGCTCCTGACCATCCGCCAGCGAGGATGCTGTCGTCGCGGCTGACTCCCGTTTCGGCGTCAACCCCGCTCTGCTGACAACGCGGAGCACATTTTGGAGGGCTGCCCTCGCAAGTAACTCAAGTCGGTAGCTGGCGCAGCGCTGCCTGCTGTGCTGGCAGACGCCAGTCAGGTTAACTAGCCTCACGCCAAGCAAAACCGGCCGGAGGCGCGTAGCTGCCCGGCGTCTGAGGCGCATTCCGCGCCCGCCTCCCGGGGACGGCAGCCCGGCAGCTCCCTCCGCATCCCTAACGATGCGCCAGCAGCCCCGCTTTCCCTCGTCATCGGATCCGTCAGGCCGCTACGGCCTGATCGTGCTGTGAAGGCGAAAAGTGAGAGGTGCCAGAAAAATGAGGCTTCAGATCAGGCGGAGGCGTTTGTACAGCGTAAACTACATTTCCCCCAGGTTCCCGTCCTCCGTCCAGAAGCCGAGAGGCCGGGCCGGCCGCGGCCAGCGGAGCGAAAAGCAGCGGCACCCAGGTTTACCGAGCGGGCGGGCGGGGACCTCACACGGAGGAGCGGCGGAGGCCCGGCTCTAATCTCAGCAGTGCATGCGTTTTAAGGACGGCTGGCAAACTTCTAGAAGCTTTTAACCACCCAGCTTTAGTCAAAACTGCTATGTTATTCTAATATAAAAGGCGTTTCACGAATTGGCAGTTTCACACTCGACCCTTCACCTTTTTCTCATCATCCCTGCGAGATGAATGACGCGCTCTTCTGTATTTCTGAGATTTTGCCAGTTTTCCTGCCCGAACTATTTGCAAAATCCACACCGCGGATTTCCACGTTCTCTGCACAGAAGCTTTCGTATAGATCAACTCCCCCTTCCACCAGCGCCAGAATGATGATATTCTTACTAAGGAAACGATCCAGTAAATTAAGTAGAAGTCAACCCGCCCTTGTCAAAAGCAGACGATTCAGGGAGAATTTCATGAACGGCAAGAAGCCCCCACGCCAAAAGTTGAAGCAGAAAGCCGGGAGTCCTTTGCAAAAAGGGTGACACATTTCCCTTATCTTCCTAATGACCACACCAAGGAGAGCAACTTCACCCCATCGCTTACGATCGTCTGTCCGTAAAGAGAGGTTTCACTTCTGCGACGTGTTTTGGGGTGGGGGTTGCCTTTGGTTCGCGACTGAGCGTTTCGGTAAATTCTGTTCACCGAGTCGTTGCTCGCGTTCTCGCTCACTTTCTCCCTTTCCCTGTTTTGTCATTTCCATTTTCTCCCTTTCTCCCCGCCTTTTCTCCTCATTCCCCCTCAACGTGTTCACCTATTTCCTCCTTTTCATGTCCCTTTCTTCTCGTTTGGAGTCTTCTCTGCGGGAAGCCATTCCTCTGTGTTTGGAAGATTTGCACCTCTTTGTCTCTGGGCTTTTGTTTGTGGGAAGGCGGATAGGGTCGGAGTGATGGAAGGCATCCTCATCGGCTTTCCTTCGGGCGAAGGTCCTGGGTTCCTGCCGGGAGCGGGCGAATCCACGTTTGCTGTGGAAGTTTGAACATTTTCTTGCTACTTACCTTTTGGATCTCTCCTAAGCACGCTTGAAAAGGGTGTTAGGTATGGAGGAGGTCAAAAAGAGGTGGGACTCGGGGTAGGAACCCCACTTATATAATCTCTCTTGCTCTTTCTATTTTTGGCAGGTGATACCCGCTCCTCACTGGTATCAGATATTCAGGGATTTTGGTGGCGGTGTCACATTTATCTCTCCCTTAACTAATCAAGGTACACTATTAATAATCTTTGGCACTCACCTTCCCCTGGCTGTGAAAACCTATTACCTCGGCAAACTGACGGTCTGCTTGAAACTTTATTGTTAAGGGGAGAGGCAGGCGGTATGAACCAGCTGTTCGGGGGCAAACAGGCGCTTCATCTTCCATCAGATGGAGGAGGTGGCGTCGGGAAGATCTGTCACGATGAATCAGGAGGTTCAGTTCGAGAGCTGGGACTCTGCTCAGAAGGAAGGGAATAGGAAGATGCAACCTCCTCATCAGAGTGAGGGAAAGCAAAGACTTACGCTCAGGAGTTTGTCCTTTTCTCTCCTTAGCCTCGGCAGATACTACTCGAAGCAAGAGAGAAGAGCCCTAGAGTGCCTCCCGCACCTAGAGCTACAACGTTCAGCTTTACCTCTTGGCCTTGAAGGAAGGCAGAAATAATTTTTCCTGCAGGCAACAGCAAATGCAATTGTGTAATTCTGGTTGCTCATACTTACAGGGGCATCCAGAATCTCCGTTCTGGGCCCCAGTGGCCGAGGTGCTGTAGAAGTCTAAAAAATTTACAACCTGAGCTTTCTTAGGAGAGGCGGAGTGTTGTAAACGAAGAGGTACCATATATGCAGTCATAATACATTGACTGTAATCTTTTCAGCATATAAATTCTCTTTATGCTGAGTTGCTCATTCCAGGGAAAGACACCTCTGAAGACACCTTTATTTTTACTCTGTCAAGCAATAATAACAACAATAAAAATGCCATTGAGACCTATTTGCCATTCTGCAATCCATCTGGGAACACCTTTCCTGAAAACACCTTTCCTGAACACACCTTAATGTTTTTCTGGCAAGGGAAAGCATTTTATAAAGAACTAGGAATCACATTTATCTGGAGTATATTTGCGAGTAAAAAAAATCTTTCCCATTTCAGGACTCAAACCCACCAGTTCTTAGGTTAAAAAGCAACCGAGGCTGTTGTGATATAACTGAAA